TCAAATGCCCAATATATGAACAGAACACAATGGCTATTTGCATTACGAGCTGCTGGACTCAGAATCCAGGCCCTGGTGCTCAGCTGCATTAGCGTAACCAGCCTGCCAAACGAAATCTGCCCTGTACCCAGTCAAGGTCCCTTCCCCAGACCTGCTATCTGGCCAGAGATTCCCCCAAAGACAGGTCTGAACCAAACAGCCCAAATAGTGCAATACCTTCCCCTTTCCTTTTTATCTGTAAAAGATTCTTCAAAAGGTATGTGCACAGCTAAGAAGTTAGAAAGGGATATGTGTCAGTTTGAGTTTCTATGATCTCAGACTCACACTCCTGACAGGTACATGTCAGCTGCCACATGGAAGCTCCAAAGGCTCCCAGCTTCACACAGGTTCACCAATGGGGGCATAGACACCAGGGGTCTTCTCCCAGAATCACTCAAACATCCCGCTTATGAATTGTCAAATAACATAAAGAATAAATAAATGATTTAAAGGAGCACCAGCGAAGTAGGCAGTTGAGGGTGCCCACCCATCTCTGCCTCTTCTAAGCTGAAGCCCTTGTTTATTTTGACCTCTAGGACCTGCAAATCACCCTGCTTTGATTGAGGAAAGGTAACACTCACTGAGCTGTTCTACCTGCCCAGCGCTGTTCCAAGCATTTTTGCAGGAAGTGGCCCCTTTACAACCACCTCCTAACAAACATAAGGTCAATACTATTGTCATCCTCCATTTACAAATGAAGGAATGAAGCACACAGATTTGCGCAAGGTCATTCCCTAAGTGGCTACTCAAACCCAGCCAGTCTGACTCCAGAGCCTCTGGTCTTTACCACTGTACTGTGGTCCTTCTCTAACCTACCTGGTTAATGGTACTTTCTGGCTCCATCCTGTCAATGCGACTTCTTAGTCAGTCCCTCTGCACCCACTTACCTGGTTCTGCTGCCACTGTCACCCCTATGCAACAGTAACATCCTCCCTGGGGGTTAGCACCTGCCCCTACCTTGGAGGGACCCTCTCAAGGGGCTCATCTCTCTGCTTGAAAACCTTTTCTAGGAAGCCTGAGCTAATACATAACCTACCAAGGAATGAAAGAGGGTCCCTAGGGACCGGGCTCACCTGCACAATAGGGCCAGTGTCAACCAGAGCAGCTCACTTTTATGTTTTCTATAGATAAGTTCCACATGGAATTTAATTTGATAAAAAGTTTTCATTCTTAAAAACAATAATACCTCAAGACAAAATAAAATTCCGATCTTTTTCATGTAAAATATTCCAAATTTTAAAGTTGACAACTAAGTTGAAAAATTGAAAACCCTGCGTAGGTTAAACAAAACACTCTACCATGTGTGTTTCTTACTTTTAGAATTTAAAACTGGCCTTGGGTCTCAGTAGATGCTCAATACACATTCATTAAGTGCTTGAATAAAAACAACACAAACAACAATAACAAAACCTGTACTACCTGTTTGACCTGAGACACTACTAGACCCCTCTAACCCAACTCACGGTCCACAACTGCTCCAGGCTTATCCAACTCTGGAATGATTAAAAGCCTCCTGAAAGCATGCATGAGCAAGCCAAGGCTGTGAGGAAGGGGAAGGGGTGGAGCATTTGGGGAGGTGCATGGAGCAGCCTGAGGCATTCACACCTGAGATGAAGGAGAGGCTCAAAAGCCCCTAAAGACGCCCTTTATTAAGGTTGACCCTGAAAGAAGTCTTTCATGGCACAACCTTCAGCCTTCCCAACACACACACACACACACACACACACACACACACACACACACACGCCTGTGCTTTCTTACTCCAGGGGCAGATATATGGCTGAATATATTATTACTTTATTTGGGCACATCTTCTTTTCCATCTTTGGAGTGTACTATAGATGAAGTCGATATTACCTATAACATTCTTTAGTAGAAACTTAAAGACTTGGGACTAATCATATAGTCCCAACTTTGTGATTTTCAAAGCCCTTTTATATCAGTTATCTTATTCTATTGTTATAATCCTGTAAGGTAGAAATTACTGTCCCCACTTTTCCAATGCAGGAACTAGCCTGCCAATATCACACAGCTACTCTGTGGTGACAAGGCTCAAGCCCAAGTGTTCTGGCTCCAAGGTCACGATGGCAGAGCTGAATTCAGTCTGTTGAGTGAGAGAAAAAAAACCCAGACCATGACAACACAGGGGTAGCTGAGGACTCCAGGTAGCACAATAACTCATTTGAGAGGCAATGGTAGACCATTTGCTATAAATAGTACTGTGTTGAAAGAGGTCAAAACACAATCTGAATACTTTCTATGTGAAGGAAATTTTAATGAGCAGATTTGTTTCGTTCAGGTTAGTGCTAGATTTGTTAGATTTTCATTTCTCAGGTGAAAGACACAAACCAAATTTTAAAAAAAATCTAAATCACCCCTCTACATAAAATAAAATGCGTAAGAGTAAGGATTGATGGTGCAATTGATTGTAACAGGTCTGTGACAACCAATAGTGACAGTCGAGCCGAACATACTGTCTTCTTTCTCAGACTTTATCTGACAGCATTATGCTGCAGCTCAAAACACTTTTCCAAATGGATTTCTCTCTAGAGCTACAAAAATATTAGGCTAAATTATATGTTCCTTGCACTAATACCATGAGCCACATAGGTTGATCTATTGGGGAAAATTCTTCTTGATGTTCAGGAATGGTTGCTAACCCTTTGATTACTCCCCCAGGTTAGGCTGAACCAGAGAGATTGTTCAGTCTTACAGTTTGTCCTTTTTTAAGTGGCATCCTTCATTTCACTGTCATCCATGCTGCCGACTGCCTCAGCGTGGAAAACATTCCATGGCTGCACGAACTGCTCTGATTGGAACCTGGTGACTCAGTGACCCCAGCAAAGGTCTGAATACAACTCAATAGGTCATAGCATTGGATATAGTTTCCCCTCAGGCTTCTGTCGACCCCCCAAACTATCAAGCAAATTACCTATGAGTCGCAGGACCTTCAGGTAACCAGTGCATGGGACTGAATGAGATACAGTTAGTAGTTCAACTTCTCCCAGCCTTGTCTCCCATAATACTCTAGTGGGATAACAGTGCCATCAAATGAGAATCAGAGAAGCTTATAGCAAAATGCTCTCTGGAAGCTACAGTCATACTACCCTAACAGTCTCCTCTGTTTTGAAACCAGAGAAACAAGCTGGACAGGGCAAGAAAAACCTAAATTCAAGCAACGCTCTTCTGCACAAATAATGTGGCGGCTTCTTCCCCTTCTCCCTTTTGCCTTCTTCTGCTCTTATGACTAATTCAGGCTTCCTCGGATCAGGTTACCAAGAGGAATAACCAAACTGTTGACAACTTTCCCCACCCTCAGGAACAAAAATTATATCCCACCCATCCCCAGTGATAGTTCAGTTCAGATAAGATCCACATAAGGGTCCAGCCTGGCCAGAATCCATAAAGGGCCAAGGTGGCCAAGGCCCGGGTACATAGGTTTCCTGTGGTCCTCAACGTCTTCTGTCTTGTGGACCATTGACTCTTGGGCAGACAAGCCACCCCCCTTGCAGCTCATGGCTTTTCATAACTCCAGATGATCGTGAGCATGAGGGACTGGAGTTCTGTTGGTCTGTAGAACCTGCATAAAGAGTCTGTGTGGAACGCGGGGAGAAGTTTCATAATCTGGTGTCTGGAGCAATGTTCTGAGTCAGACTGCAGGCCTTGAAATTCAGGCTATGCCTCTTTTTAGTTCTGTGACCTGTGCAGGTTACTTAATTTTTTTATACCGTAGTGTCTTCCTCTGCAAAATGGAGATAACTGCCATATCTGCCCAGAGTCTTGCTATGAGAATTAAATGAGCATGTAAATTGCTTAGGGGAGTGTTTGATGCATAATGTACGTTTGGGGGAAGAGGGCTGATGAAACATTTCTAGGCTAGGCATCACTTCCTGCCGTCTTCCTCCCAGAACAGCAGGGCACCCTACTTTGTGCCATTTCCACAGCTCTCTGCTGCCCCCTGCTGACATCTGGTTGATACTATCGGTGTAACTTGGTTCTGGCTGCAGATAGTTAACCTCCACTCCGTTTCAACAAGTACCTACTCTACAACCAATATCTTTCCTCTGAAGTCCCACGCCTCTGTGCCTTGGCCTCTGCAGCTTCTTCTACTTAGCATGCCTTTCCTCCCTCCAAGTCTGTTGAGGCCATGCCGACCTCAAATGCTATGGCATTAGCGAATCCTGCCTGTGTTCCTCCACAAAACGTGCTCCTCTGACGCCATCACCTCCTAGAGCACGTCACTCATTCCTCTTTTGCCCATTCTTTTCTGTACTGTGATTCATTTTGAACTCGTCTTACTGCCTCTTACCATTAGATCAAAACTATGACTTACTTGTCTCTGCTTCCCCAGCAGCACGCAAGTCATACCATAATTCCTTTTGCACAAAAGCATGCTCAGAACGTACTCGTGCAACAAATGAAGACGCACAATCACCACCCTACCCCAAGCTGAGTTCTTGCTCACATTATCTCTCACCTTAACGATTGCGGTAACCTCCTAACTTGCCTCCCAGACCCACTTCCAATTCATTCTCTACATGCACTTTTGGAGGGAAAAAAAATGGTATTTTGTCATTTCCCAGCCTCCCACCCTTTAAACTGTTTCTCACTGTTTTAGGATAGAGTTGAAAGTCTTTATTGTGGCCCAAATCTTGCAAACCCCTTTTCTTCATTCTCCGATCTGCAGCCACATTGGTCTTTCAGTTCTGCAACACTCTAAGCTGCTCCTTCCACCTGGGATGCTCTCTCCCACCTCATTCTTCCCCAGTCCACCCTCAGACTTTAGTTCAAATATTACCTCCCAAGAATACTTCCATCACCACCTTCCCAGATCTGATTACCTCTACATGCTCTCACAGCAATATATATGTATCTTTCAAACAAAATAAAACCATAGTTTTAAATTTCTATTTTTAGTCATTTGATTAATGCTTGCCATCCCTATGGGACTATAAGCTCCATGAGGACAGATGTTGTGTCTGTCTTTCTTTACTGTTGTGTTCCCAGCCACTAGCATAATGCCACACCTACAGTAGATACACAATAAATATATGTTTAATAAATGAACAACTTTAAAAGCCACATTAAGGGCTGGCCGGTTAGCTCAGTTGGCTAGACCACAGACTTACAACACCAGAGTCATGGGTTTGGATCCCTGTACCAGCCAGCTGCCAAAAACAATAAATAAAAAGCCATGTTAAGTGAATCTTAGCCATGATGTCAAAAAGATATGTATTAAGTATATTAAACCTAAAACATTAGATTTATTCCAGCTCTACCATTCATATTTAGGATATTCAGTTATAGATAGAGAGAGAGAGATAGCAAGGGTTTCTGTGAACACACTCAGCAAGGAGCCAGGATGATTCTGCTGATCCTTACCTTCAGTGCTCATATCCGGTGTTGGCATCCAGATGTAGACCAAGCCTTCCTCCTTATACAGCTTAATCATAGTGTCTGGAGTCATGGGTTCTGGGTAGCGGTTACAGCCTGAAGAATTCTGTACGATATCCCACTCAGTCTGGAAATTCATTACAGCCGTAATCCCCAACTCATGCTTCAGTTTGATGGTTACATGTTCCACTTGGCGAGGGCAGCTACCCAGCCAGATATTTGGTAGAATTCTAATGAGAACATATGGAGTCATCTATTACTATTGTGGTTCTGATTTGAGGTTTAAGGAGCTGCATAAAACATGTAGTATCAAAATGCAATTAACCTCTCAATCTTACAGAAAAAAAGCTAAATTTTTAAGAATATGAGAACCAATATTATTATTGAAAGAAAAAGAGTATATTGAAAAAGTACATTGAAAGAAAAAGACTGTTGCTGTTTTGGGGAAAACAAATAATGCAATTAACTAGAATGCCAGGAAATGGGCATTAGCAAACCAAATCTAGCCACTTGGTAAAATAAGCCTACCAAGTTATACTTATTCCATGAATGCATACATGGTTCAACATTATGAAACCCGTCAACACATTTCAAATACTAACAAATTGAAGGAAAAAACTCGCCTAACTATATCAATAAATTTGGTAAACATTTGTTCAAATTCAAGTCATTCCTGTTTAAAATTCTAT